ATTCGGTCCCTAGTACCTGTTTTATTAAATGTATAAAGAAGATAAAATATGGCAACTGATCATGATGATGCAGCTTCAGTTTGGTAGAGGAAGTAGGTGGAAACATGAGTAAAAATGCCAATATTTGCAGTGCCTGGGTAGCTCAGTCGGTTAAGCGTCCAACTCTTGATCTCAGCGCAGGTCACGGTCTCAAGGTTGGTGGGATGGAGCCTCGGTGTCAGGCTCTGTGCTGACCACCTGGAGCCTGCTTGGGATTCTCTCTCTCCCTCTCTCTCTGCCCCTCTCCTCTTGCATGCAAACATATGCACATGCTCTCTCGCTCTCTCTCTCTCTCTCTCAAAATAAATAAATAATTTCCTAAAAGGCCAATACTTTACACAACTCGGAGAACACACATGACCTGGGGTAAAGCAGCATAATGATGGATGCTAGGTAATCATCAGTGGTTGGGGATGATATTCATGGCATCCTACAACTTACATACCATAGTGTGGAGGCTGGATGTCAGAATAATTAAAGTGCCTTAGGTATTTGAGCATGTTTTCTTCATTCATTTAATCCTCACAACCACCCTGAAAGGTAGTCATTGTTAATCCCACTTTGAAGATGAGGCTGAGAGAGGGTGGCTCCAACACCAGGTTATAGCACATGCACCAGACAGAGCTTGGGAACTTACTGAAGTCTGCCTACTCTAAAATCTGGGCCTTTTCCAGGTTATATGAATATTGAGTCCTGCAATGGGACCAGGTAGTTTATGACAATGGACCCAGTGTTTTTCAAATGAAATACTTAGTAGAAGGTGAGGCTTCTTTTGCACATAAAGTGCAGTGCCACTGGCCTCAGAGCCAAGGTGCAGTCGAGGCACTGAAAGAAGCTGGTAGGAGAGTAGAAATTGCTCAGGGAACAGCCTACATGTGGCTTGGTCTTACAGGGCACGTGGAGGCTAGTGTTTTTCTTAAATTTTTTTTTATGTTTATTCATTTCTGAGAGAGAGAGAGAGAGAGAGAGAGAGAGTGAGAGAGAACACAAACGGGAGAGGAGCAGAGACAGAGAATGGAGACACAGAATCCAAAGCACACTCCAGGCTCTGAGCTGTTAGCACAGAGCCCGACGTGGGGCTTGAACTCACAAACCATGAGATGGTGACCTGAGCCGAAGTCAGAAGCTTAACCGACTGAACCACCCAGGTGGCCCATGGAGGCTAGTGTTCTAAATGCAGATGATGACGCTTTGCTTTCCAGGCAGGAAACCAGGGCAGTGACTAGGAGGCTCATGTCCTGACAACTGTGGGTATTCTCACCTGGCTAAAAGTAGATCATCTGGTTTTATTACTTAGGGATATTATTTTTCTGATCATAAATTAGACTCTTCCTCTGCTAAAAATGTGATTCATCTTGATAACAACCTGTGGACAGTTTACTCTTTTAGAAGGCTAAGAGGATCCCAGGATCGTATGTAGAATTTAATTTAGTAAGAAATATGCAAGTAATAAGATTAAGGTTAGCTTAATTCACACTCTTATGTTTAAATGAGGGTTTAAAAATAAATAAGATACTTTGGCAGAGTAACTAAATCCATAGGGGCTTTCCATCTGAACCTCGCTCAGCCGGTGATGGAAATAATCTCCCTTGAATTCTAATAGAATCATCTTGGTGTCTTGTATTGTCTAATACTTCTAAAATGTTTTGAAGATATTCTCTGCAGTACTATCTATAAGAACAAGAGTAGAGAAAGATCCAGATGCTCAACAGCAGGCAAATGATTAAATAAATATGGTGTATGCACTGCATTCTTATGAAGTGAATCAAATATAACTTTAAAGATTATATAGAATGAAAAATATTCGTGAGTAGAATTCAAACTAGCATGTATACTAAGAGGACAATGATGTAAAATTATGGATGAATGGGGAAAATAATATATGAAGATGAAAAGAGTTGTATTGTGAGTTTATGACATTACTTTTTAAAATGAAAATTAGGGGCGCCTGGGTGGCTCAGTTGGTTAAGCATCTAACTCTTAATTTTGGCTCAGGTCATGATCTCCTGGTTTGTGAGATCAAGCCCTGCATTGGGCTCCACAATGACAGCGGGGAGCTTGCTTGGGATTCTCTGTCTCCCTCTCTCTCTTCCCCTCCCTTGCTCATGCACGTGCTGTCTCTCTTTCAAAACAAATAAATAAACTTAAAAAAAATTTTTTTTAAATAAAATGAAAATTAAAAAAATAATAGATCCCACAATATTGAAAAAGTGGTTTAAAAGACCATCCATGAAGAAGAAACATAATTCAAAAGTATTGGCAATTGGCAATACACACACACACACACACACACACACACACACACACACTTATATGTATATCAGAGATGTCAAAAAAATTGAACTAAGAGACTTAAATTTGGTTTTATATTTTTTGTTTATGTCATAGAATGGTGCATTGATAGATGTGGAAGATCTTTAACAGGACTTCTAAATTATTTTTCTTGTCTTTAATGTTCTTGTATGTGAAGTGATATTATGCCCTTCTCCTTTGATAATATTTTCTACACATAGCTATATTTTTTGAACAGAAGTGGGAACATACTGAATAACAGGTTAGTATCCTACTTTATTTCATTTCATAGTACCCCCTGAGAGGTTTTTTCCATGCCCTTTTCCCCATGCCTAAAACTATATTCTTGGAAATAGTTTTAATGGTTGGTTAATAATTCTCTAATTTATTTAGCTATACTACTCTTCCTTATTACAAATAGTGCTGCATTGCATATCCTTGGACATGAATCTGATTGTCTCTGATTATTTTTTTTAAAGTCCTATTAAAAAATCTATTTTTTCTCCTGAAACCAATACCACACTGTATGTTAACTAACTTAAATTTATTTTATTGTATTTTTTATGTTTATTTATTTTGAGAGAGAGAGAGAGAGATAAAGAGAGAGAGAGATCATGAACGGGGGAGCAGGGGGCAGAGAGAGAGACAGAGATAAGCACAAGCAGGCTCCACACTGTCAGCGCAGAGCCCAGTGCAGGGCTTGAACCCACAAACTCTGAGATCATGACCAGAGCTGAAATCAATAGTCAAACGTTCAATGGGCTGAGCCACCCAGGCACCCATTAACTAACTTGAATTTAAATTAAAAAATAAAAAAAATAAAAATAAAAATGCTAGTTTTAAAGGTTTATTAAGGTCTAATTTACATAAAGTAAAATTCACTCAATTTAGGTTTATAATTAAAAAAATTTTTTAATGTTTATTTTTGAGAGAGAGAGACAGAGAGGGAGAGAACGAGCAAGGGAGGGGCAGAGACAGAGGGAGACAGAATCTGAAGCAGACTCCAGGCTCTGAGCTGTCAGCACAGAGCCTGATGTGGGGATGGAACTCACGAACTGCAAGATCATGATCTGAGCCCAAGTTGGATGCTCAACTGACTGAGCCACCCAGGGGCCCCAGATTTAGATTTATAATTAATGAGTGTGGATAAATATATAGTTTAGCAACTGCAACAACATCAGGTGGGAGAAATATCCCTCAACGTCTACTTTTCAGCCTTGGCTACAAGAGAGTGAATATTAAAACTATGGGGAGAGGAGGAGAGGGTTCTTGTTTTCTCTTTTCCCATACTAATCTCAATGTATGCATTTAATCAGTATTTCACGCCTCTCTCTCTCTCCCTCACACACACACATGCACACGCTCAGCTCAGGAAAATCAGTATTGCCATCTTCAATCCATCTACACGTCTAAAATGACCCACCTAACATATGAGCAACGCTTTGCTATAGCTACCTGTAGAAGTAAAGACAGTCAATGATTGTGATGCCGTCTCACCTAGTTAACAACCAAAACTAAAACCCACAATCTCCACAACAGAGTCTGCATACTTGCCTTATTAACTCTGATTTTCCCTCAAGCATCAGTCTTCCAGTTGATTTTACACGTGTGCATACACATACATGAGTGCACACACACACACACACACAACTGAGCTCCACCCGCAATTCAGAATCACTGATGATGAGAAATGATTTAGGTAGAGCCAAAGAAAAAAGAAGTATGGTTTTGATAGAGAAAAACATCTTTGAAGGCAAGTAAGGGGGGTTAGGTAGTTAAGAAAGAGAATTATGGCCAAGCCTTCCCTCCCTATTCCTTAGGATGAAGGTCATCGGTAAACTGAAATTTGATCAATTTGATCAATCACTATGCCCCAGAATAGCCGTGTCTTTCCTCCTTGCACATATGGGGTTTTGTTTCAAATGTCCCATGCCAAGGAGAGGCCACAGCCCATGATCTGTATGTCTGTTCTAACCCTGCTGTGCCTTCCTCACCCAACCCTACTTTACCATGCTCCCACCAGTCAGAAATACCAGTGCTCTTTGCTCCAAGGATGCTGTGAGTTTTAATGTACAACAGGGTGTGGCCTGGTACACTTCTTCTACTACTGGAACTACACCAGGCTCTACTCTCCCTCATTCATCCATCCAGTCACCAGCCAACACATGTTTACTGAGCATCTACAAACCTGCTTACGTCCAGCACTGTATGAGATGTTGGAGCATAGTGTGTACAGAACAGGCTGGTTAGTGCTCTTAAAGAACCTTCCATGTAGCCTGTCTCTGTACCCATCATCGGTGTCCCTCATTCTCCATCATCAGGTCTTTTGCCTGCAGACATAAAATCCTCCCCTAACTCTTAGACTTAGCACAAACAACATATTTCAAGCTAGACATCAGGGAACATCATGGTCACTAAGAAGTTTCTCTGCTCAAAGAGCCAAGTGGTCTGGTCTTGGGAGGCAACAGCAATGGTCTGGTCTGAGTGCCTGGTCTGAGAAGGCAGGAACCCTCCTGTGCCTCAGGGTATTTTTAAAATCTGGTTGATTTAGGGTGAATCAATGCCTAAGTGCCAAGTTCTCTTCTGTTAGCCTGGGAGCAACCTAAAGACAAGAACCATGTCTGTTTTTGAACCTGCAACCAAATCCCCACTGGGGTAAATGCACTTACCTAACTAAGACTGGGATCTTGGGCATCTTCTTGGAGACTTTAAAGAAACTTGTGTCCCCTTTGTTGTCAGTGAAGTACACGCCGGCCACACTGGTCACGAGGTTGCCAGGGAACGTGAAAAGCACCCTTTCGTCATCGCCCTGGTTGGCCCAGTCCCAGGCCTGGCCTCCAATGAGCAAGCCCCCTCCACGTTTCATAAACTTGACCAACTTTTCTGTCATGGTTTCATTGTAGGCATCAATGCAGTAAACCCCCAGGGAGTCTTTCACTTCGGGCTCAATCTTCGCCTCTACCCCAGAACCCTCAAGGATTTTGGCCAGGGGTGCCAGGGACGGGTGTATGCCAATGGGAGCCCCAGGGGAAGAACAAAGCCAACCCACTGCATTGAGGAGAAAGGGAGTGAGCTGGGCTTCTACCAAGTAGTCCTCGTGGGACACCACCACCAGGCGGCCTCGGCCATAGGAGGAGGCAGCAATGAGGACCTGGCCCATGTCATTCACCATGACCGGAAAGGAGGCCTCTCCAATGAGAAGCAGTTCACATGGGATGGCATCTTCGGGGACATCCCAGCTGGTCACTCCATTCATAAGGGCCTCAAAGGCAGCAGAGGGAGTCGCCATGGCTGGATCGGCTTCTGTAGAGAGAAAATCAAAGACTCGGTTTGGGGAAGGACAGATAAATAAATAAACAAGCCAGACAGTTCACTGCTCCCCCAGCTGGGGCAATTCTTCTGTCTATGCAGACGAGACTGACTCTATGAAATGACTCAGGGACTCACCAAGGGGGGTCAAGGTATCCAATCCAGGAGAATGCATCGCACCCTGACCAGTCCTCCTAAACTCCTGTGGTTAAACTAAAAGAGCCCGGCACTTTTCTACCGCAGAAGGAAACAAACAGAAATGAAGGCAGAATTGTGTCCCCAAAGAGATACATTCAAGTCCTAACTCCCGGTACCTGTGAATGCGACCTTCTTTGGAAATAGGGTCTTTGCAGGTACAATCCAGTTAAGATGAGGCCATACTGGATTTGAGCGGGCCCTAATTCAATGAGTCACGTCCTTTAAGAAGAAATCTGGATGCAGACAAGACACACAGGGGAGAATGCTAAGAGATGGGAGTGATATATCTACACCAAGGGCGGCCAAAGGTTGCTGGTGAGCACTAGAAGCCAAGAGAGGGAGGCGAGGAGCAGATTTTCCTTCAGAACCTGCAGACCGAACCACAGTGCCAGTACCTTGACTTCAAACTTCTGTGCCCCCAGGACCGGGAGAGAATAGATTTCTGCCGTTTGAAGTCCCCCAGTTCGTGGGAATGTCTTACAGCAGCCACCAGAAACACACACACTGGTGCAGCATGCTGCCCCCACCCCACTCAGCTCCCACACCGATCTCACTAAGTGCAGCTCAGGGACCCCAGAGTTTCAGTCTGGAAAGCCTGCGTCCTCTGAGAAGTGTCCTTGGTCACAGTCACAGCTGGAGAAGAGGAAAGCGGAAGTCCTCTGTGGCTTGAATCCAGAAGCGGAATGTATGCAACACATTATGAAACGACGGCCGATTCTCACTTGTGCCCAGACACCGTGGAGACGGGTGTGTATGTCTGTGGCCGTGGCCTTGCATAAATCCTCTGCTGCTTCCCTGTGAGCTCCCTGCTTGGGATGCGCTACAGTCTGACCTCCACTGTGGGCACGGCACTGGAGCGATCCCCTCAAGAGCAGATGTGTTTTCATCATCAGGACACCGAGGGCTTGCCGTTCTCACTGCCCACCCGGTGGCACCGGACAGGGCCGGTCCCCGAGGCTGTCACCACCAGTAACGTTACTGCCTGGGCCAAGCGCAACATCTTCAACCTGCTGACCCATTTACTTTCCAGCCTTCTCTTACCCCTTCTGAAAAGTCCCAGGTTTTTAGTCTTGGGCCCGTAACCTCTTTACTTTCTGTTTCCCTTGTCAGAGAATATTCTCTCTGAAGGCAATATGGCAAAGCGGCTCCAAGCCCGGACTCTGGAGGTAGGCTACCAGGGCTTGAATCTCAGCTGTTCGCTTACTGACTGTGAGATGGGCAGCACATTTCCGTCCTCATTTCCTCATTCATTAAGAAGGGATAAGAGTATCTACCACATCAGGTTGTCCCAAGGATTAAAGGAAGTAACAGGTTAAGTGCCTTTCAATTACTTATTTCATATATATATACCTATATATATATATATATATGTATACCTATATATATATATATACATATATACACTTACATGTGTATATACACACATACACATGTATGTTTGCTTATAATTATTTGGTTAAGGGTAAGCTATTTAACTTGCCAACGTGCATAATAGAGAATTCTTACAAAGTGAACAACAAGCAAACCTAATGTTAGAATTTACAAATTGTGGACTAAGCATTTAATGATTTTTTTTAAGTTTATTTATTTGGAGAGAGAGATGATGGGGGGAGGAGCAGAGACAGAGGGAGAGAGAGACAATTCCAAGCAGGCTCCATGCTGCCAGAGCACAGAGTCCGACGCGGGGCTGGGTCTCACGAACCATGAGATTGTGACGTGTGCCGATGCCAAGGGTGGGATGCGTAACCAACTGGGACACCCAGGTGCCCCTAATGATTCTGATTTTATAGTTTTCACATTTTGGAGCCAATGCTGACACTAAAACAAATATTTCCACGGGCCTTTGTAAAGGTCCAAGGCACAGACAAAAAGGCCCTGGTTCTGAGGTAACGAATAAACCCAAGATCCCTCCTGAAGGAGCACGTTCTACCATTTGCAGAGGCCTCTAAAACTAAAGAAGTACTAAATTTATTCTTTTCCCTTTAAACTAGCTCCTCTTAGGCAAACTATGTGAGCTTAGTGGCCCTAGTTGTTAAGGAGACATCTACCTCAGAGAAGCTTTGAGACCACAGAATCAGCAAGTGATTGGTTGCCAAGGGCTTGTGCCTTCTCCGTTCTTCCTGGTGTCCACAAATAGCCAGGACGGCAAACCACACAGGCACGGTTGTGTCCCTTCTCTCTCCTGTCCCGTATCCAGCTGGTCACAGGCCTGTCAAGGTCATCGTTCATGGTTTCCAACCACACTGCCAGTAACCTAGTTAGGGTGCTCGGTAATTCATTCCTCGACTGAAGTGATCCAGTTTCTAAGTCACCAGGGTCTTGATGATCTGGCCTCTGTTCTCCTAAAGCCACAGATCACATTAGTTCCCAGAAGAGAACCCCCGCCTGGAGCTTCGCCTTTTCCTACGGGGTTAAATCTGACACCTTTGTCCTGGGGTTTAAGGTCTCCGGGGCGGGCGGCTCCTTCCATTTGCCAGCCACGTCTCCGGCCACTCTGCAGTTTCCAGAACACTTGGCATCCCTGGACATACCCTGCTGTCATTTTAGATTCTCTTTCCTTCCTGTTCCCTCTCCCACATCTTTCTATCTGCTGAAATCCTATCCTTTTAAGAGAAGATATTCACAGAAGAGGACATTTAAATGGCCAATTAGTCTATGAAAATATGCTCAATCTCACTTTCAGGCAATTCACGATAGGATGCATGATGCTGCCCACAAGATTGTCAAAAAAGGGAGATGGTGAGGGAGAAAGGGAGGGAGGAGGAGGAGAAGGTGGAGAAGGTGAAGGCAGACAATAATGCCCAATGTCTAAAAGGCTAAGCGGACACTACTGCAATTTGCCGGACGGGCCGAGAAGCTGAGAGCGATCTGACAGATTGCTTTGTCAACAGAGTGGCAGCTCCGTTTCAGGGCCGAGCCTGTCCCCAGACCAGCAATCCCTCTTCTGATTACCCTGCTTACAGAAATAAGAGCAGCATTACAGATATATGTACAAGGATGCTCGCTGCCATACGAAACTATGAATGGAGACAGATCAATGCAAACCTAGGAGATAAGTGACGAAGGATGTTTTCTGGAACCATCTGTGACTCCTGTGGGTGCAGCTCTCTACCCTAAAGCACACCTACCCCACTTCCACAAACTGTGGCACCCCACAGTTGCCCATTATGGCAACATAAGACCCCAGCACGCAGCCCCCAGGCAGCCACCCATACACGCCCCACCCGGAAAGAGCCGCCCGTCAGATCCCTCCTCTGGGGGCCCTTGTCGCTGCCAGTGCGGATCCTCCAATGCTCAGAGCAGGGAACTCACATTTTTCTCTCACTAGCTGTCTTTCCAGCTAGTTCATGGGAGAAGAACTATCTGTGGAAAAGTGACAAAGACACAGGCAGATGGCCTCGACACCTGAAAAGGAGGGGACCAGAATGAAGAGGGCTCTTCCTGTGGAGTTGCCTCCTTCTACCTGTCTCCTGGGCTGGACTAGTGGCCCGAGGTGAGTGGGGTTTGGTGGGGACACTCAAGCTCACCTCCTCTCCGTCCTGCATCACGAGTGGGGACTTGAGTGCAGCCTCAGCTTTATACCAACACTGTGTGTGTGGCAAGCCAGCTTTTGAGAGGGAGAATGTCTGAATAAAGTATGATCATCTATATTGTAGAATATCCCATCACTGTTACAAAGAATGCGTTAAATTTTGCATGTACGTAGAACACCCTAGGTGTGTTTTAAATGAAACTTTCAAATCACTGTACACAGGACACACACCCGTTTTTGTATGAATGAAAATAGTAATCGTTTTAGTAGTAGTAATGACACTACAGTGCTTCCCAGGCTCCAGACATTACTGGAAGTGCTTTACATCAGTTCCTTGATCCTAACAATACACCTGTGAGGTATGTATTATCACTATCTCCATTTTATAGGTGGGCAAAAACAAAAAATGTGATGGTCAGAGAATGTGTTACTTGCTCAAGTCACACAGGTGTGAGCGGTGGGACCCAGGATTCAAACCTGGGGAATCTTATACTGGAGTCCACAATTGGAAATACCGGAAATAGATAAGCCTCTTAAGTAGCAGGATTTTATATACGATAAAAAAAAATCTACGGAGGCCACATTTCAGCATGCGAACATTCACTGCATCAGGAAGGGACGAGGCGCACAAGTCTGCATCCTTTGAACTGCTGTGTGTATCACAGTGAAAAATAACACAGATAATAGAACTTCAAGCAAACATTAAATGAATGAGTATACACATCATTGGCCTGCTCAACCGATCATCTAGAACATCTACCGATCATCTAGAACATCAACCGAACATCTAAAATGTCTTTGTTCATCTCCCAATCGGTTGAGCATTTACCCACCAAGAAATCTGATTTCCTCCTCTGTGGGGTTCCTTGAACTTTGCAGCTGGTTCTGTTCCCACTTTAACCAGTTATATCCAGGACTGCAGCACTTGACTGTTAAACGAAATGCTTCCTGTTTATGCCCAAATCCCTGTTTGCTCTCCTAGCTTGGGGAACGCAGATGGACACGGCCTGGGGGAATCCCTTTTATTTCTCTAAGTTCTTCATCCTCCATTCTCCTTCCATGGCTCCTGTTTTCTCTCCTTTGGGCCAACTCTGGCCTCTGAGCTTGCTGGAACCCAAGGCACCCATAAAGCAGAAAGTACCTCAAGCACAGCTTGTAACTCTACAAATCCCTCCCCCTACCACAAAGAGGCCTCATGCTACCTAAATGGTGTTTTCCTGTGAGAGCTGTATTTGGAAGGGAAGGAGGGTAGTGGGCTGGTCTTGGATAATGTGCCACATCCTGCATTATGGTTTGATTTCAAATCCCCAAAGCAGGATACGTGTCTGAAAATCAGGGGATATGTTTGATTCTTTGGATTCCCCAGGAGAATGAAGACGTACTCCATGGATGGGTGACTGGGAGATGGATGTGGGTATCAAGGGCAGGCCTAGGATCACTTCTCCAGCAAATAGCTACCTTGGCCTTGATGAATGAGTAATACCACAGACATCCAGTCCTATAGGTCTTCCCTTCTCCATGCCATTTTCTTCCACGAGCCCGTTTCTTTTTCCCTGTATACATCCAATATCCTTTCCAGTGTCCACCAACTAAACTAGAGTTGGGGTGGGTTCCCCCTTCTTTTGCATTCTGTCCTACATACTTACAGATCAATCTTACTTGTTTTTCACTTAAAAATGGTTTCATTGGGGCACCTGAGTGGCTCAGTAGGCTGAGCATTTGACTTCGGCTCAGGTCATGATCTCATGATTCATGAGTTCAAGCCTCACACCTGGAGCCTGCTTCAGATTCTGTGTCTCCCTCTCTCGCTGCCCCTCCCCCACACTCACTCTCTCTCAAAAAAATAAACATTAAAAATTTTTTAATGGTAAGGAATACATAATGCGTGTGGAAGGACACAGATGGTAAAACATGTTAAAAAATTAAACATTCCTACGTAGCTACTACCCAACTTAAAAAACAGACCATTACCAATGTTTTCAAAGGGCCTCCTCGTGGCCCTGTCCCATCCCTCCCCCATTCCCTAAAAAGCACGATTCAAAATGCTGTTTTCTGTTCCCCTGTTCCTATCTCACTACATTCCCTTAATTCCTGAGTTCCCCTGGGGCTCTCTTTCCCTCACTCATATTTGCTCAGTTCTCTCACCAGGAAACTCCCAGGAGAAGGCATCACGCAGGAGCCCCGGAGTGGTGACCGGCCTGCCTCCGAGAGCAGAGCGTTCTATCAAAGGGACAACGTGCAAGACAGGTCATTCTCAACCTCGAGGGGTTGTTGATACCTTCTTCTGGTGTGGGATCCTCTCCGTTAACCTCCAGGCTCCCACCCCAGCCAGACTATCCTACGCAGGCTCAGAACCAGTAGGCAAAGAGCTTGGCGGTGACGTCAAGGGAGGAAGGGAGAGGGGCTGGGATCGGGGGAGGTACACGGGTGGGGGGCGGGGGAGGACAGCATGGGGAGGAGGGGAGCGAAGCGGAAAAGCTCTGCCTGGCAGGGAATGGCTCCAGACCCGCTGGCACGGTTGGGGTGAGGTAGGGGTACACAGACCACTGGCCCTTCCGCGCCCGCGCGCGCGTGTACGTACACACACACACACACACACACACACACACACACACACACCAGCCTCCAGCGGGCCGGTGAGAGTGGGCAAGGGAGCTCAGTCCCCGCGCCGGTGTTTGCAAAGATCAAAGGGCAGTAAGACATAAGTGATGCTCTGTCACCAGCCACCTGTGTGACCCCGCGCGAGCCCTGCCTCCTCCCTGGGCTGCGGCATTCTCCTCCGACGCAGCTGCGGACGAGATGCCGTGCTCCCGCTCGGGCCTGCGCGTCTCGACGACACAAAGCACGCAAACACAAACATCAGATGTCAGAGCCCGGAGAGGGGCAGCACTGCGGCAGCGGCGACGCGGCGCCCAGGCCAGAGAACATCACCAGCAGGGGCGCGGACACGGTCAGCGAGAGGCCCGTCCCCGGCCTGGGAGCCCCCCGGCCCCGCGGCGCGCCGCTGCCGCAGGTCCGCCCGCGCCCCCATCGCGCCCCCTCGGCCTCCGGCACCGCCCTCCCCGGAGCCGGGCCGAGGCCACCGCCGGCTGCCCCTCCTGCGCTTTCGCAGAGGGCCACTCACCAGGTCGCCCTGCGACTTCCACGGGGACAGCCGGAGGGGGCAGGGCTGGGCGCAGAGGGGACGCGCGGAGCTGCGGGAAAGGGGCTTCCCTGCGGGCGGCGCCGGGCAGGCTGGCGAGCGGGCACCGGGAGGAGGGGTTCCCGAGGAGTCTCCTCCTCCCCACTTCCTCCCGGGCGCGACCGCCAGCCCGAGGGGCGGCGCTTGGCAGGGGACAGCGCTTCTTTGTGTCGCCGGCCCAGTGGGCTCGGCGCTGCGACGGCCCCCACCCTGGCAGAGTGGACGGGATTAGGGACATAAACTCTACTCGTTACCCAGGGCAAGGCTGAATAAGTGATAGGGTATCAGTTCTTAGGAGGAGCTTAGATCTCCATTTGGTTGGGGGGAATGTACTTGACGCACTGCCAAGGGGAAAATAAAAACTGTAGGAAGCTGTTGACAATGCTTTCGTTTTTATAGTAAAAACTAGCCCTTTACGTATTCGTATTGCGGTGGGAGAAGGCATGCTGCGTCTCTACCTGTTAATACCGTTTGCCCTGAGGAACAGCAGAGGGCAACTTTCCTAGATCTCTGCATTGTTACATACGTTACTTCTGTAAGTGAAAAATGAGAGAATATTGCAGACAGACAATAGGCAGCCAGAGTTTATGCATCTGGGTCCACTTCCGTTCCCATTTCTACCTCGAACTCGCTTCCAGTAACCAGCTGACTGTTGCTCCTCACTTGTCTGGAGCCTTCACCTCCCTCAGGTGCTAGCTAGTTCCAGCATGTGAAGTGCAGGGTGGCGCAGCGGTTAGAAACTCAAGGCTGTCACCAGATGCCCTGGATTCAGATCGCGATGCTACACTTCACAGGCTGAGTGGCTTCCCCAGAGTTACTCTGCACTTCAGTTTTACCTGTACACCGGGGATGATGAAATTAGTACCTATATTACAGATCTCTTACAAGGCTTAAATTAGGTGAGTGAATACTTACAACGTTCTTAGATCAGTAAGACACCAGTGCTTCTTAAGTAAAATAAATATTCAAGTTGTGCTAAGACTCACTTCTTCGTGTTTCAGGAAAATGCATCCAAGTCATATTTCCTTTCGGCACCTCCCTTCAACCCCCTTTCCAATTTCCTTTCTTCTTTAAATCCTTCCCCAAACCGAATCATATCAGCAAGAGCCAACAGGGGGATGTGGGTAGGTGAGCTCAGTGGCATAAAACATGGAACGCAGGGAACAGAAACCAAGAGAACCTCAATTCAGGCTCCTGCCCAGTGAAGGACCACCTGTGTGAAAGTGAGAAGGCAGATCCTTTACCTCCCATAGGGCTCAGGGCTCCCAGATGATAAAGGAGGAGGGCTGGAAACTTGCTAAGTCCCTTTCCAGTCTGAAATGCCACGACTGGAAGCACCGCAAGGCAAAACCCCCAAATACTGAGTTTCACGAAAAATGTTAAGGGGCAAAACAAAAACGCACATATTGCCTACATAAAGATAAATACAATAAAAGTATAAAAATATACATGAGAAGGACAGAATATAACTTAACATCTGAGGATGGACACGAGATTTGGTGGAGTAAGGATTTTCACGGTCAGGTTTTGTTTCTTAGAAGGAGGGGAGACACACACACACACACACACACACACACACACACACACGGCGGAGTGGGGGAGACCAAGTGCGCTGAAGCGAAGGTAATAAAAAAATGTTCGCATCTGATAATTCTGCTACGTTATTGTCTGTACCTATCTGCAGTTTTAGAACATTTCATTATGAGAAGTGTTTTTAAAAGGCATAAATTCCTGGAGAACAAGAATGAAGCACGAAAGAAATAAGAGCCAGAGTGGTAGAAAAGGAGCAGAACCAGACACAGGGATGGAGAGACCGCAGGGAATCCTCTTTGGAAGCCATCCGCCTCCTTAGGCCCAAGCGGTCTCAGGCCCGAAGCCCGACTACCTTCGCAGCCCGGCAGGCGCCCCCCTCCCCCGCGCTCCCCCGGACCCCGGGCGGGTCCGTCCTTCTCCCCCCTCCCCCGCCCCCCGGGCCGTGCGGGCTTGATCGGTGGGCCTGATCGGTGCGCCGGGGGGCCTGCCCCGGTTCTAGAACCGTCTTTGGACGAGACTCACCCGTTATCCAGCAGTTTGCACACCGGGCTACTTCGGAGGGGGAAGGGACTCCTCTGCAGAGACGTGACAAGGAGACAGGGCAATCAGCCTGCGGATTTGGTAATTGGTGGAGGTGGGGGCGGGAGGTGTGTGGGGGGAGACTGGCTGCAGTGCGGAGAGGGGCTGGGGGGGGGGGCGTGCCTCCCCGGGCCCGGCTTGGCGGCTGGGGGGGGGGGGGCGGAGCCTGGCCGGCCGCCCCCAGACCTCAGAGGCCCTGCTTTGTGTCGGGTTCTGGGAGAGGATGCAGTCACGAATGCCGCACGGTGTCCCGGTAGGGCTCCGGGAGTGCGGCAGGGCGATTAAAAAATAAATAAATAAATCCGTGAGACTATTTACCAACAAGGGAGGGGTTGATAAATATAGATTTGTATGTAAGACAAGGATGAGTTAAATCTACATATATGTGCCAGGAGTTGGGCTGTAGCTATATTCATATTTTTAATGAACATTTAACATGGTAGTAAGAATGGAGAGCTTGCATTTTTGTGCGAAAAACTTTTAAAATATATATGCTTATATAAACACAGAAATTACATGGAAAACACATGAAAATATTAGAATCAGTTCAGACAGTTAAGAGTAGATTACTTTTAAGTATCTTTACTTCACACCCCTCTTTAACATTTCAATGGTGATATGTGTCATTTAGTGATAAAAAAACGATACATTTAATCAACTAAAATAGATAAAAAGATCCTTGCTCAAGTAGCTGGTAGCGACGCCTCTATAAATATGATTTCTCCCTGTGTGGGGGATTCTTGAACTTTGTTCTTCGTCCTGTCTCATTTCAGTCAAGAAAGAGTGGGATGTAACAGGTGACTTTTGAGCGGGGACTGGACTATATGGCCCTGTCTTGAGTCCATGTCTGCTCATCTAGCTTGGTGAGCTCAACATGAGAAGCTGGGGGAAAACCACCTGTCCCTTTTATGGCTGCCAGTCCCAAAGACCAGATTCGTGTGGCCTCTGCACATTCGCCTGTTTCCTCACCCTTCACCCTTCACTGCACTGGCCCCTGTTCTCTGGGTGCCTAAGGAGAAGGTGTCCCTGGCCAAACTTCTCAGGAAGCGACCATGAAACAGCTTTCTCCCCTCCTGCAAAGCAGTGTCCAGGCTGGACCTTCCACAGGAATGCACACTCGGTGGTAAAGGGGATAGATTACTACATCCTGTATTACTTCACCGTTTCATTACCACTCACCACACTAGAGGAAACATAAGTCTAGGCCTATGTTTTCTTCTTCTTCTTCAGATTCTCCACGTCATGTGGCCATAAACCGGTACTTCGTAATGTCCACTTGACGGATGGATGGACAAGATACATGAACGTGAGGTCAGCCTATCATTTTCTTTCCATATCTGCTAAAACTTCAGCTAGTTCTAGCCTCTCTCTCTTTCAGACTGCACATTACTAGCTCGGTTTTAAATCCTATATCCTTCCTTATTTATACTTTCTCTAGCGTTTCTGTTTTTCTTTCCAGTTTCTACCTCGAGTAACAGAAATTGCCAGGAAATCCTGAAAGTACTGAAATAAATTTGGAGATGTTACGTTCTGGAAATACTTGGCTACATTGGGGTGAATAAACAATTTGTTAAAAATCCATACTGTAAAATATCATGGAGTTCTAAAAAGGATGAGCTCAAGTTATACCTTGAATGCTCCCAATATATACTTTCAGTGAAAATTTTGTAATGCTCCTTTTGTGTATTTATGTTTATCTAGCAGGAAAAATAAGGACATATTTGGCTACCTCAAGAAGTGGGGTGGGTTGGCCAGTAATTTTTTTCTTTAGACATTTTGCATTTTTAAAATGTTACAAAAATAATTTTGAAAAAAAATAGGACTACTCAGTAATACCACTCTTAGGTATATACATATACCCAAGATATATATATATGTCACCAAAAGACATGCACTAGAATATTCAAAGCAGCACCATCCATAATAATCTAAAACTGGTGCCTAGTCAAATGCTACCCTCCCTGCTTTCTGACCCCCTAGTGCTGTCCTGGCATTATCTTCTATTATAAGTGTCTTAAAAATGACCAGCAAATACTGAGAATTTATTTTCAAAAGCTCTTTAAAGGAAATTCTAAAGGATGTATCTCAAGAAGAAATAAAATAATATTAGATAAATTATCTAAACTGTAAGACAAAATGGTAAGAGACTTCTAAATCTGGCGTTGAGGGGATACCTTATTTGGAACAATACTTCCACTGAAAATTCACAGCAATAGATGTTGGACAAAATATAGGAAACAATGGAAGACTTTGAAGAGCAAACAACACAGGGAGAACTTGAGAAGCTACAGTCCCAAGGGAAGAAAAACACAGGACATGAGTTCCACATCTGCTGTGGCTTTTTGCTTTAGGACAGTTTCCAGTTCACAATGCATTTCACGAGCTGAAAGTGTCAATCTTACTGGTTCAGGATTCTCAAACCAACTGAACCCAAAGGGCAACATTTCAGACAAGAAGAAGTCCCTGAGAAGTGAATGTAAAAATCTGTGTACAAGTTCCCCTTAATTTGTCCCTGGCTGACTGACTTTCAAGCTCTGCGCACACAGGGATAGACCCCCCACCTTCCCCCCCCAAAAAAACTTGTTGAAAATAGACGCTAACATGCTAAATAGTTGAGCTGTCAATTCAGTAATTGTACTGCTCTGGGAACAAAGCAGTAGAGGACAAGTCCCACAGAAGTAAGTGATTCTTATCAACACTCTGCTTTCAGTTGAGAAAATCCATGGTGTATCAATAAGAATGACACCTTAGGAGTAAGCATTAAGGGTGGGTAAAGGAAAAACTTCAAATGTACCAGTTTTAAGAAAGCTTAAAACTCAACTTTGATAGTATGAAAGTAATCTTCTGGTACTTTATCTGTTCCCCATCCCCCCAAAAGTCCTCTTTGACAAACAATAACATCAACCATAACTTTGTAATTTTTCATTCATGATGTCCTGCACACCATCAAAAATTTAGAGGGAGGCTAAAAATCAGATGACATG